TAAACATGTAACGTAACATGTGACATAACATAAACATTGTACATAACATGTAACAGTGTAAACAATGTGTAACAATGTAAATGTTACTTAACTGTAACAACGTAAATGTTACATTACAATGTCATGTAAATGTAAAACGTTAATTTTCTGTATCATTAACTAGTGATATTCTGATAGTTGTCAAATAAATAAAATATTGTTTTTCCTCCCCGATGATACATCACTATAAACTAATTTAGCTTTTAAAACAGACTGCTTTACTAATATCCTTTCCTCTCACCAGCCATTCCTAGCACGTTTGACTGTGCAAGGCCTGGAAATCACAGGGCTGTCTGTGACCTGATGGAAGCTGTAACAAACGAGACAGTGAGACATGAGGTTGTGTTGTGATCTCTCCGAGCGCGCTGCGTGCCAGCATGGCAACATCTTGCTGCCCAGCTTTCCAAAAACATCGGACAGGGATAAGGACAACAGCTGGATGAAGAAAAGCTCCTGTGCAGTATCTCGGTGTGTGTAGGTGACTCCATCTCACACCAGCAGGAGTTGGCCACGTCCTCTCTTCTGCGTTATTTGAACTCTACAGACTCCAGTGGTTCTGGGCTCAGCGTATGGACAGCGGTACCGCCTACTTGTAACCGGTGCTGGTTTTGCTCTCTTTTAGCTTTCTTCAGAAGTTTAAAGACTTACCTTTTACCCAGTTCCTCTCTTCTGAGTCAGCTACCAGGTTAACTCACAGCTGTAAAGGTAAGAGAAGAATAAACTTTGAACAGGTAACAGTAGATAAGACACAAAARATAAAAGTACATGCCAGAGGAAATGGAGCAGGCAAAAGAGAAAACCTGTGGATAGCTCTGCTCAGAAGCAAGAGGTGGGAATGCTTTGCTTTTGGGTAGGGCGGTGGGATGTGATTGTTTACAGAGACATCTAGCCAGGACTCACAAAAGGAGGCTCACGCCTCTCAAATCTAATAGCCTGTCCCGGTGAGGCAAAAAGCAAGTAAGTCACAGCAAGGAAGCTATTGATATGATTAACCTAGACCCAGAGAAAGCTTTTCATACAGGTACACACAAAAGGCTTATCCCCAAAGCCAAGAAGTAAAGGAGACAGACAGCTTAAGTGGATAAGGAATTAGCTGCAAGTCCAAAGGCAGAAGGGTGCAAGGCAGGATTGCAAAGCCCAGAAATGGATTACATGGGATCAGAAAGAAAGGGGAAAAGTGAGAGAGTCAAGGGGAGGCTGCCTTCAGAGCCACATTTTTCCCCGATAACAGGCTCAATGTGCCCCATACAAGTATGTTGACTATGAATTCAACAGAATTCCTTACATCTCTTCTGACAGACCAACTTTTATAAATGTTGAAAAGAAAAATATGCTCTGAATATCAGAAATCTTTAGGGCCAGAGGAACCGGCATAATAATTTGAATTGTTCATATGTGTTATGGCCCCTGAACCACATATATTTTGGAAGCCTGATCAGTTTGTTGTTCTTAGTGTCCTTAGGGCAATCCTGAACACTAAGAAATACCAAAATGCGAGTTTTACAGGTAAGGACATGAGGCACAGAAGGCAGGTCTGAGTTGTCTTGTGCCTCTAGCTCATTCCAAACAACCTCAAAGGATGGCTGGAGGCAGCCCATTAAAGGCTGTCAGCTTTCTAAAGCTGTGTTTAGACATGCTTTTAACTACTGCTGAGAGCTTATCCTTTTATGTTCTCCCGATGTGCAGGGCAAGAACAACGATGGTTTCTCCCAACCCAGTTAAAAACGACCTGGCTTAGAAAAAGCTGTCTATTTAGAATGTTTTTAATAATAAAACATATTCATATGTTCATTCACAATCAGACAAGCTGTCTCCCYGCGCTGTCACGCATGGAAGCGTGAAGCAGTGACAGTTCTCAAGGGGTAACAGGCAGCTAGAGGTGCATCCCTGTCTCCCACGCCGGCTGTAGGCAATATGCTTGATCCCAGCCCAGTGAGCACACCTTGGCAGGGCCCCGCACGACCAGCACACAGAGCTCGCTGCACATATAGCCACTCTGAACGCCTGCCACCAAAATGTGGAAAGGACAAGTAACTTGCTGACACAGAGTTCTCTGGCAAGGGACATAACTACGCCTAGGGTTCTTCTTCACCAAACATTTTTTCTCCTTCTTGYTCTAATCCTTTTTCCATTTGATCATTATAATTTGTCTGTGCAATGCCCCTCCCTAACTCTTTGGACTTAACAAATTTGATCCTGCAGGAGCTCCAGCCCTATGAATAGGTGTGTTGAAATCAGTGAAATCGCTTACAGCCTTATTCAGCAAAGTACTGACCGGCATATCTGATTACCTTTGTACAAGCTGAAAGTAGGTGGTGAAATGTTTTGGTAAATCGCCAGTTATGCAGATGAAATTATGTATGTACACAGGTCTTCACGGGACAGGGATAGGAAGCAAGACAATTCTAGACACAGATGCAGTAACACTGAGATATTAATGACACCATCATGTCCAGCTGTGTGTTACTTGATGATAATTGTGATGCATTATCAACTGTAAGGATGGTAAAGTGCAGCTGTTGACATAACAGTGTTTGAAATGCTGCTGCTTACATGAAACAGAATTATTGCAATAATCATGTATTACTTTGTTTAAACAGTAATGCAGATAATTTCTATTTGTATGAACAAATTTTTACACACACAAAAAAAAAATACACACAAAAAAATAAAGGCTGTGAGACTTCCAYGTGAATATCCGCAGTCAAAATCTATCACAGGAGGTTACAGAAGGTTAACTCGGGCTATTTATACTGAGGTAAAAGTTGACTACATTGCCTTGGACAGTCATCCTAGGAGAGACTCTGAATAGCTACCCTAATGTGAAGACGTGCCTATTTTTAAATAAAAGCAGCCTCCAGGTCACTTTGTTAGTCAGCAGCCAACAGACCGACCCTCGTCTCCTGAGGCTCAGAGCTACGTGCAAGTGGCTGCAGCCTGGGAGGTACCACAGCCCTGGCTGTCCCTACCCCACGCAGGGCCCCATTTCGGCACCGCCACACAAGATCCTGCCCCACGAGATCCTGCCTCAGGATCCCCCGGCTGCAGGGAGCTCCAGCCCTGCACCCAGACACCCCAGCACTGCGAGCAGAGCTCCTCCTGATCCAGCTGCAGGGAAAGATGGAGAAGCAGAATCCTGCCTGGATCCTGCCTGTTGCTGCTGTTCCTCAGCGGGTGTGTGTTACAGGGCTTGTGCGACTGACACCTGATCCATTGTCTGTCCTGGAGAGCTAAGTACAGTGCACTAAGAAACACTACAGTGTCCAGTGAGCTAAGAAACACACTATGAGGCAGTTGCATCTGTCTGATCTGTGATTTCATACCTTTTCCCTAAGGCTATGGATAGCTAGATATACATTCTATTCTAAAATAAAAATAAAGGGACATGCATGAATAAATGTGTTGATTTGTTACTGTAACTTAAAGAATAAAGGATCAGAAAATCTGGGTGCTCCGTGGGGAAGAGAAGGGTAGGGTGTGCCATTAATGCATTCCTCCTATAGCCGGCTGGTGTGCTTTTGTGTTGTCTGTCACAGTGGGTCTGCTTGGTGCTCTACTGCCAACCTCTTTCCCAGTCTGGACTGGTAAGACACTTGTTTCTTAAGATATTTGAGGAATCCGATCCCTCCCAAGTAAAATGAACTTTTATTACCATGACAAGTATCTTATAATATGGGTTCATAGTTTTTCCAGAGTTTCAAACAAGGTTTAGCTAAGTCCCTCTAAGTTCACTGAATCTAAATGCAGAATGGAACCTGATTATATATCTTTATCTATATCATCTATATAAATGTATGTATGAAACCCCAACATATTCAGAAATCTGATTTCTACCCTGTAATTGTCTCTAATCATTGTATCCTAGCAGAGTGGATCCCTGGGCCATGTGTGCCCAAGTGCCCCTATGCTACAAATAATGATGATACAGGCTTTTAACAAATCCTCATAGAATGTAGTACCCTAAATACAGTATGGACATCTCTGACAAAAGGGTTTAATCCATCTTATGTTTGTCAAAGGTACCTTGCATGTTTTGTACTTGAATGTTTTGTACTTGAGGAGCCTTATAACTGCATGAGAAACAAATGGAGGAGGAAATAACAAGGAAAGGAGAAAAAAATGAAGGGCATACAAATTATTTGGAATAGTTCCTAACATAGGCATAAGAAAGCACTTAAGAGAGATAAGAATTCACTACAAGTTCCAGAAATATTAATCTTTTCTGCATTGGAAGAGTAATTTCTTTGTAGCAATAAATTGAATTGCCATTYTGTGAAGGCCTTCCCGAAACGTGTTTAAAAAGTATCCTCTCCAACCCAGGAAAATAGCATTACTCTGGAGCAAGGACCAGAATGTCCGAGGCTGTGGATGRGGGGTGGTTTTCAGCACTGCAACTTGTGAAGATCCATCACAAGTGATTAACAAAAAGAGGTAGTTTGTCATCTGATGTCTTGACTTTTTGCAGTATGTCTCTTCTTCAATGGCTCCGGATGCTTTTCTTGGTAGCCTGTTTGAAATTTGCCTCCTTCTCCATTCAGGACAGAAAATGGTAATTCTTACTAAACTCCTCTGTATTGGAAGAATTTGCATTGCAGAGYAGACTTAATAAATAAATAAATATGGAAGCTAAAGGAGATTTTATATACCAACTTTGTTTAGAAAATACACTAAATGGTGCAGAGACTGCATAAGTAGGTGTATTCTCTAGCTCAGAAATCAACTTGTTTGCTGTCACTAAGACGAGCATGGAAAACAGCTGCCTYGAGCATAAACTGCCCGTCCCTGCCGGCGCCTCGGGGGCAGCACACGGGACGGCGGGGCGGGCCCGTCCCGGCCGCCATGTCGCGCGCCGCTCTCGCGAGAGGCCGGCGAGGCGGGCGCGGGGCGGCTCCGCTCCGCATAAAGAGGCGGCGAGGCCGCGGCTCCCCTCGGCGGCGGCGGCGGCAGCGGCAGCGCAGGGGCCCGGGCCGGTGCCGGCGGCAGCTTCATCCTCCTGCTCCTCATTCTCCTCCCTGCGGTGAGTGCGGAGCGGGCGCGGGGCGGCGGGCGGGCGGGCT